GCGAGGCGTCGCGCCTGGCGCATTACAACAAGCGCTCGACCATCACGTCCAGGGAGATCCAGACGGCCGTGCGCCTGCTGCTGCCCGGGGAGCTGGCCAAGCACGCCGTGTCCGAGGGCACCAAGGCCGTCACCAAGTACACCAGTTCCAAGTAAGCCATCAGCTGCAGAGCAACAGGTCCGTCTTTGTCCACACCCCAAAGGCTCTTTTTAGAGCCATCCACGTTTTCCAAGGAAGAGCTTGTTCGCTATTGGCTCTATTGTTCTGTTTAAGGTATAAATGACCATTTTTATGCTTTCTGGAACGTGTGAGGAAAACTAGGTAAAATAAGTTTGGGACTTTCTTCGTGTATATTTTTGCACATTTAAGTTGCAGTTGCCTTTTAATGTCAAAAACTTCGTGTCCTTAATGAAGAATTAATAATGCAAATCATACCTCGGCCCTTTGGGTTGTGGAAGTATTTGAAAATCCCGCCGTGTACTGCTAGTAGCCAGAACGTCACAGCAGTTCCCGGGGTTTTCTTTCAGTTTATCCCCGGATAGATAGATGCTAATTATTGCCCTTGGAATTGGAGTAAGGAATTAGCGCAGGATCCGGAAGTTAGGTCTCACTTGACAAGGCAGCAGAACTCTACAGTCAGTGTCTGAGTGCTTGCTCCTAAAGCTGCAGTAGGCCCACAACCTCCTGTAAACTTTTAAAACCTCTAACTTTACAGTTGGAAGATAAGGTGATTTTAAACAATAGTGCTGACCAGACTTAGTGACTTGTTATGAGGCAGCATAATTTAGATTGTGTTCTGCTTTCTCCTTTCTCACCTAGTTACCTCTCTGTACAGTTTGCCCCTGGTCCACCACCTCCTATCCTCCCCTGTAAAATTATAGGCATGGTTAAAGGGATTAAATGACTTAGTTGTGTGACAATAATGGTTTGAAAAATAAACCTGAGTCCTTTCTCTTGTGTCAGGCTGAGTGAAGAGTTGGAAAGCTCAAAATTTCTTCTCCTTCTCCACCTCTTCAGTTCTCTTTGAAATAATATATCCAGTAAAGCAATGTGTCTTTCTGTGTTGGCAGAAAATCCTGGTATCTCAGATGGTAGGAGAAGCCAAAAGCCATGTCTGGTGTGGGGGGCTACGTTGGGCTACTGGTGGAGGAAATCCACCGCAGAACTGTTGTTATATCTTTGCTCAAGAGTAAGAAATTGGAGAGTAGATTGCAGGAAATAAAGTACAGTATGGTGAGTGTGCTTGTTCTTAAGGCAAGCTTCGAAATTTGCTTATTCAATCCGTCTACCATTTTTTACTCTTAAACATTTATTCAGCAAACTGCTCTTGAATGCCTAATATGTGCTAAGAAATATTCCTGAAATGGGAAAGTCCCAGCATCCTCAGGCAAAACAGTTAAGAAAATGACTAAACAGAAACTGAGAAATAAGCAAAATGGAGCCTGCCTAATTTGATAGGATCCTGTAGTGGGGGAGGGGAAGGGTGCTCTAGGCTGAGGAGTCTGAACACAGAGTAGGCTGGTGGAATCATTTAGAGCTGCTAGAGGCTGGAATGGCTGGAGATAAATGTGGAAAGGTAAGCAGGAAGTGATAGCAAGGGGCTTTGTACACCTTGAAAAGTGATATAAAGTTTATCTACCAGGGGAAGGCAGAGTCTATGCAGATTTCAAAATCTTGTTAAAGGTATGATTCAGATTTATTATTCTGATGGCTCAGTTGAGAGTAAATTGGAAGGGAGTGAGATCCAAGTTGAAGAGGTTGTAAATAGCAGCCAGTGGTGAGGGTCTGAACTATGGCAGAGAGAGCAGTCAGAAAGAGGAGGAGGAGGGGATAAAAAGGAGATTTTTTAAGGAGATAAACAGATAAAGGAGGCAGAAAGGTTAGGGCTTGCTGCAGACTGACTTGCAGGGGGTGGTGAAGGAGAAGGACAAGCCTGGAATGATGTCCAGGTTTGCTTGCGCAATTTATGTTCTCAAGAAAGGGGTTTCGGAAGGTGGGCCAGGGAGGAAAAGAGACTTGCCATTGTTCATTCTGATGGGGTTCAGCATGCGCTACCCCAAAATATGGTGCCTTGGCATACTGAATATCTTATAAACTGAAGGTGTTAGAGAAAATGGCAGAAGCAGGAAGGTCACTCTGACTGCCCTCCACCTCTCACCCTTCTTCCCTGAAAGCAGGAGATAAATCTCCCATGTCAAATGTACCCTCCCTGTACCAGGAGGAAGGGAGACACGGTCCTTATCACCAGAGACAGGGAATTTAGGGCCCAGAAGGCTGTATAAACAAACTTTGTTACTTCTTCACCATTTGCTACCCCTAGCCCAAACCTCTTTGTCTTGTCAATTCTTCATAAGTTTATTGTTTCTTTGTCTCAAAGGCGTAAAATCTTCCTGGTCTGGTCACTTCTTTGGTCTTTATTCTCTTGCAAAGGCTACCATGTACATATGAAAATTCAATGAAATTTGTATGCTTTTCTCCTGTTAATCTGTCTTTGTCGGGTCACCACTTAGGCCAAGCAATCTTTGTGCCCTCAATTTGCTTGGGTGTATTCTATTCCAGTTTGCCAAGTTTGTTAACAACCTCATTTAAATCCAAATGTCACAGCTGATTATTCTGAAGCAAGGATTAAATTCTTTGAAAAGAAAAAAAATCTAGTTTTCTGCTGTTAGTCTTAGGACTGTGAACTGTCTAAAAAAGACTAATTCCTAGTAAAGATGGTAAATAGACTTGAATTTCTTGTGGAATAATAAAAGAGCAATACTCAAATGAATTTTGGGTCTCCTGTTTTGGAAAAGGGTAGGTACACTAGGCAAAGGGCAGTGGTTTAGGGCAAAGACTCAGGGTGTTCTTTTTGGCTGGAGATTAAGAAACTTTTCCTGAGTCTTTCAGGAAGTCTTTCTAACCAAAGTAGTGACAAACTTCCCTCCCGCTTAGGCAGCTTCTTGATTTTATAAATTTCTTCTTTCATATCTTTTATCTATGCTTACTATAATTGATTTAAACTATATAAGAAATATTCTCTTTATTGATATAATGGTTATATTTGAAGGTTGGGAAATGGAGAACCTTCAAGGAGGATCTTAATGTGATTATATCCTACGTATATTTTAGCTATAGGATACTGTTTAGAAGTCATTTTAAAACATGCCATTTTAGGTAAAGATTTATACAAATATATTAGAAATTTAAACAAAATAAAAATTTTTATAAGTACTTTATTTGAACGACATGCAAATAGAATAAATGTGAATTATGTAGGAGAGGAAAAGTAATTTTCCCTCTATGCTTCTAACTTCTTGGCTGAGACCCCTGTAATAAAAGATTAACAAGAGAAAAACATACAAGTTTTTTGACATGTATACATGACAGACATCCAGGGAAAAACAAATAACTCCAAAGAGACTGCTTAGAATTAAGGTTTAAATACCTTTTTCACATGGAAAGGGGAGAGAGGATGTAAGCCTCTTAGGAGAAAGTAAATGTTTTTTTTTATGTATAGATCTCCTTTATTTTTTATTTTTTTTATTTTATTTATTTTTTTTTTTGCTGAGGTCAGTGATGGTGACAAAGACCTCCTGGCGCACAGGGCTGAAGAGAGAATGCAGGGGTTCCTCTTCCACCAGCCTTGGATTGTCCACCCAGCCTCTCTGGAAACTGCCCCCGGCCCACAGGAATGGGCACCTCACAGCCATGTTTCTGCTAAGTCGTTCTGTCCTGCTAGTCACAGCTCATCTGTCCAGGAGTAGACATCAAGGTCAATCAGATTCTGTCTCTCAGGAATCTTCCCAGCCTTCAATTGCTGTCAATGGTGCCCTTTCCCAGGGCTCATTAAAAAGATGGTTTATGACTTTTTTTCTCCTTTATTCACTTCCCACATCCAATCAATCACGGCAATAGCTACTCCTTGCTCTGCACAGTTCCTGATTGTCCATTCCTGCAGCCATACACCTCACATGTGGATGAAGGCAGGGCCTCTTAGCTAAATCACCAGGCCTGCAATCCCTCTGGCTTCAATCTACTTGACCACTTCTGCCAGAATAAACTTTTTTAAATCAGTTTAATCAAGTATGAAAGGCTCATTATTTGTTCACAATTATGCTAACCACTAAGGGGAACTCAGAAGTGAGAGGCTATTTTTGTTTGTAAAGTATTGGTGTAGTAGGAACCTCTCGGGGTAACTACTCAGATCACAGCAATCACCCCTTCTTTGGGAACTGCCTCCCATACACAGGGAGGGACACCCAGAAGTCATTTCATTACTATATGATGCTGCCTTAGATATACTGATTGATGCAAGAGTAGAGAATAGACCCAGTCTGGGCTAATCAGATTCTGTCTCCCAGAATTTGGAATTTTAGAGTGACAGACTGGGAGATGCTGAAGGTTTGAGTCACAGTGATGGCAGAGCAGCCCCTGTCTGTGAAACCCCTGGAGCTGTCCTGGAACATGCTCTTCTGGAGGCTTGATTGTTAAACTTCTTCCTTAGCATCCTTTTGAGCAAACTGTATCCCAGCATCCTTTTTGTTTGTTTTTAATCTAAGCGAGCCAGAGTTGATTTTTGTTGCTTGCCCCAAGAAGAATCTTAACCAATCTTAACAAAATGAGACATTTTTCTATAGGTCTTAATGAAAGGCAGACAGATATAACTATCTCCATTTTCCGGGTGGAGCTAGAGGTTCAGAGAAACTAAGTGATTTGTCTAAGACCACACAGGTTGTGCTTGACAGAATGGAACTAGAAATTGTGTCTTCTGATTCCTAAAACAGCTCCCTTTCCTCTCCACCTTTCTGCTTCAGGGAGCTCAGACTCTCACTAGGACAACTTAGATCTCCTTTAAAATAGAAAAAAAATTAGAAAGCACATTATTGTTAAATACTAGAAATTTTAAAATATATCATAGAAGATGCTTATGTTGGAGTATTATGCAATCAGTTTTTTCATTTTCTCTATGTAAATTTTCTAAGTTTTAAATTTTGCGTTCCCGTGAAAAAGCAATTTTTAAAGTCTTTAAGCATAATAACAAAATAGTTACTATGGTACAAAACAGTACAAGGGAACACAAAAAGCCCGTTTTGCTGCTGTTATATGCCCCTCCCCCACTTGGGCGAGACTTCCCGCCTCTTTTCTTAGGTTCTCAGTTCGGTCCGCCAACGGACGTATAAAAGCCTGCATCAGCTGAGGCAGCGACAAGACGTTGTGGAAGTTTCTCTCTCACTATGTCTGGCCGTGGTAAAGGCGGGAAGGGTCTGGGCAAAGGCGGCGCCAAGCGCCACCGCAAGGTCCTGCGTGACAACATCCAGGGCATCACCAAGCCCGCCATCCGGCGCCTGGCCCGGCGTGGCGGCGTCAAGCGCATCTCCGGCCTCATCTACGAGGAGACCCGCGGGGTGCTCAAGGTCTTCCTGGAGAATGTGATCCGGGACGCCGTCACCTACACCGAGCACGCCAAGCGCAAGACGGTCACCGCCATGGACGTGGTCTACGCGCTCAAGCGCCAAGGCCGCACCCTCTACGGCTTCGGCGGCTAAGTGTTGGCGCTTTTGTCTCCGTTCCCTTAGGAAAACAAAAGGCCCTTCTCAGGGCCCCCTACTCTTTCACCTGAGGAGCAGTAATGCTGGTTTGGCCTTTTTGTTTTTGCGCTTGATCTGGTTTCATACTCTTAATTAGCTGGTTTTATTTTTACTTTCTATCCTTAAATCTTTCTAGGAGAACTCAATCCATTCTTGGATTAGTGAGAGACGGAAAGTTTGCAGTGGTTTCAACATGGTTGTATTGAATTTAATTTGGCTTTTCCGTAGTTTAGCTGGTAACCCTACTGGAACGGAGTGTTTCCATTTTGATAGGCGTGGTGTGACAGGACTTGGAAAGAAACATCCAAATACATAGGGTTTGAGAATTTTGAGCAGAATGGCATTCTCTGATTTGTAAATAAGATAGTGTATGTGTTAGGGATGGAAGGAATGAAGGAAGTACACCTGGCACCTCAGCGCTAATTTGTGAGACGTGGCCCATTCAGTATACATGAGGCCTTAAAACTTGACCGGCAATTTGGTGACACCTATTGGCAACATACGTTCTCTCTTCAAGAAACAAAACTCACGGCTGTTCAATAGGCTGATTGGAGAGCTGCAATTGTGACCAGCCATACTTACCTTTTCAGGTCTCTTCTCTGATAGACCAAGTGTGTCATTGGCCCCTTGCTCCAATCCCAGTTAGCACTCATCAGTATGGAAGGCTGGTAGAGTTCTTATGTGCTAACTTAAGTAATATACCATAGAACAATTGGTGAGGGTGGGGTGCAATTAAAATGGATCTCAACTAAATTATGAGAGAAATGAGGTTGCATTACAAGGCAGGCTTCTAACCCAGGAGGGCTACTAAAAAGAGACCCTTGATATAGAGTGGAAAAGGAATCAAAAAAGGAAATAAATCTAGGCCTCAACTCAAAGGAGGTTTTAACATTCTCCCAGAGGAAGTCTTAGAAACTATAGAAAGAAACTCAAAGGTGAAAACTTGGGTGTTGGTGGAAACCTTGAGTGATGCAGATACACAGACTAAAGCAGCAATTATCCACATGTATATAAAAAGAGGAAACAATGACCAGATTTATATATGTTAAAGCTAAAGTTAAAAATTTTAAAAATTCTCTTGCCTCCCCTAGACTTGCTTTGTAAAATGAAATGCTAAATAAGCATCTAGCCATTCTCCCAACTCAGGAATGTTTCCTCAAGGACCCTAGAGCCATGTCTTTGAAATATAGTCATTACGGAAGATAACACTCTGTCTCCCAGTTTCCTGGGAGGAGATGGCCCTATCAGCTATCACATGCCTCCAAGTTGCAAAACCTTCATGTTTTGAATGGGTTGTATCCACTTGGCTGTATAAAAGAGAGATTTCTTTCTGTCTTTGCAATCTCTTTAGCAGACTGCCTGTGATGCGTGTCACAATGTGGTTTAATGCTTACTCAATAATAAAACTTTTCTGTTTCTATTACCTTTGTGGAGAGGTTGTCTGGATTGGGAGATTTTGTTTTTAATTACATTTCCTCAACACCTTCTGAGGGTCTATTATCTATTTGTGGCTTTTCATTGATTTCTTGAATATTTTTGACATCTCTCAGTTCTTAAAAAAAAAATCCGTATTTTCTGCATTAATTTAAATGCTATTTTTATAGCTAATATTTTAGTATTTGTCTTTAGAAATCTATGACTTACATTCATAGCCTCATGTAATGAAACATTTGAAACTTTTAGGTATTATCTTTTCTAAATCCAGGCCCCAAATTTTGAATAATAAAACCATTAAGGTGTTACTGATACCTAAACTATTTTTGTAGTTTCCCAAGTGGCCACTAGGCCACACATAATATTTGTTCTCTAATTTTATAAGCAAAGACATACTCAATATTTGTAATTAGCCATATACAATTGTGAGAACTATTCTGTTATATATTGTGCAATATGGAAAAAGAGGGCAAATCAAAAAAGGAAACTATACATCCCTAAGTTAATCAGATAAAATGTTAGTAATATAAATGTTTAACAATTATATTTTTTAAGTTGGATAGAACATACTTATATTCATATAAAAGACTGATGCAAAACTACCAACAGATTTTATTCCCAGGTATAAATGCCTTTCTCATTTGGTGACAACAATAGTAAATACTTTATGAGATATATCAGAAGGCTTTTGGAGATTTATCAGTGTCCTCACTATACCTAAATAGAGGATTCTATCCTACTCCATACTGATAATATTGATTAATGTAATAAATTAACCAGACATATTCTTATTTGTCATCAACAAATGGTTACTGTTTTTTCATACACTTATCTCTGAAGGCTCCTGCTACACAAAATACGGATCTGAAATTGAGTTTTCCAGAAGAAGCATCCAAAGAACTTTAATAAATAACTGTACCAGATACCTGTCGGACTCTACCACAGAACTGATTTAAGATTTTCCAAGCCATGTTAGAAGCAGGCTATTTAACCCAAGATCAACAAAGCAAGAATTAATGACTTAGGACTGAATGAACTGATTTGATTGTGGCTAAAGTTTCTTTACTAAAGCCATTTATACTTTCAGTTGCTATCTTTTGCACACTGATTCCTCAAATTTTAGAAAGATATTCTATTAAAAGGACTTCTGATAAGTTGTCAGGAATACTTAAAGAATAATGACTCTGTAGAAAATATATGGTACATATTGATTGGCCCTGTCTACAAAACCACACAGAAGAATGATTGGATTTTATACTAAATTCTTTTTCCCAGGAATCTGGTTATTAACCTAGGCTTAGAACTAATTTTTCTTCCTTAAAACAAGTAGGCCTTTATCCCTTTTCACAACTATGTCATTAAAACAGACCAAGTTGAACAAAAGATAAAATTTAAAATATTTATTATAAAATACCTAAGGGTCTGATCATATTTGATAAAATCCCTGATCTTGGTTTCCTAAACATTTTGATATATGTATTTCTTATACTATTTGCAGAGATTTAATTCTGCTACAGAGAAACAAATGTGATGGATGAAACTCATATGATGCAATAAGTATAGATAAGTAGTTAGGAAATAGAGGGATAAAGGACCAAGAGATGTGTAATATTCATGAGGCACTAGTTATACTTGATGCGCTTGGACACTAAATATGCATGAGATACATGAGGCACTAAATATTCATGATACATTAAATATACTTGGGACTTGTGGGACCTCAATTCAGTCACCCACTGGTGGTAGCCATTCTGGCCCCAGGTGTTCTTTGCCCAAGATACACAACTAAAACCCATGGCTATTTGGCAGGCAAATTGGTGGGCAATAGCTGTGACCAGGCATAATTGTCTTTCTTCAATGAACTAAGTGCCTATCATTGGCCAAGGGTACTTTCCATTTGTGGAACTTCTTGCCCAAACCTGCAGTCTGGGATTCATAACCACACCATCAGCAAGGAAGGCTGGTGCAACAGAAAGATATCTGAATGTTATATAACCCATGGTCCGTCACCTTACACCTTTATCATAAGTCTTAACTTACCCCAGGTCTTTCCCCTTGTCTCAGGCTGTGTTTAAATTGATTTTAAAAACCATGCATTCCCTAGCATTTTAATTTGTTCTGAGTCTTTTTGTGCCGGGGGAGAGCTTGCCTGGTAGTGTAATATTTGGAGCCTACCAGGGCATCAAGGTAATTTCCCACAGGACAGTGGAGAATCAAACGTGGAAGCAGGGAAAACACTAAGGGCACTGAAGCCAGTAATTTAAAGGAAAGATGACAGTCCTCACACCAAAGTGGTAGCATGATGGTATTGAGAATTGGTCAGTTTCCATATATATTTTAAAGGCAAAACCAAGAGGATTTCTGGAAGAATCAAATGTAAGTATGAAAAAAGACAAGGATGAAGTTATTATCAACTGAATGAAGGAGTCTTTTAATGAAAAAAGATTATGAGGGGGGAATATCAGGGTGTTTTTATTTTGGATGTGTTAACCTTAAGAGGTCTATTAAACATCCATGTGAAGAAAGAAAGTAGGGAGTTGGGTACAAGTCTGGAGTTTGGGAGAGAAGCCTGGGTTGGAGATATAAAATTGAAAGTCATTGATGTACAAGTGGTATTTAAAGCCTGAGTCTGGTGAGATCTCCAAGGAGTGAGTGTAGAGAGAGAAGTAGTAAAAACTTAGCCCTGAGTCCCCCAACCTTAAGGGTTTGGGGAGAAGAGATGAACTAGCAAGAGACACAGAGCCTCTGGTAAAATAGAACCAAGTGAAGAAAGTATATCAAAGAGAAACTGTAGGGTCAACTATGTCAACGTTTCCAATAGGTCAAGTAAAATGAAGGCTAATAATTGGCCACTGGATGTAACAAAGCAACTTTTGTATTAGTTTATTTTCTGTCTTTTCCTAGCAAAAGGTAAATACTATGAGGGCAGGAATTTTTTTCTTTGCTATATCACCAGTGCCAAGCACAGTGTCTGAAGCACAGCAGTCATTCAGTAATATCTAGTGAATAAATAAATTAATTAGGTAATGTTCCTGATGCTGTCAACTGAGACCCCACCTGATTGACTATATTAGGGTATATTCTCTAGGGTAGAGTCCTGAACAAGAGATGAAACTGTCAAATCTGTGTTAAGTAATACATGCTAATTCTCAGTGCATTTAGTCATTATACTTTTTTCTGTTTGTTAAGGTTTTAGAGTAAACACTGTATAGCTGGAAAAGAAAGCCAAATGACTGTCCTAGGTTTTTGATGTTTTGACTCTAACTACTGAACGTAGTAGATGTTTATAGCAAGATCTTTTTACACAAGAAGATTTAATCCATTAACCACAGATTAAATAAACCCATGAGCTTTGAAATGAGCTTTCAGATTAAATTCCTCCCATGAGCTTCCTCTCTTGGGAGGAAGATAAGAACTTGAATTCCTGGGCAGGACCTGTAGCTTCTCATTACAACAAAGAAAGATTGATCCTTTGTCCCTTAATGTGGGTCAGAGCTTTGGGGCTGAGTTCTACAGCCTTTGAGCGTGTTCTCTTATTTAAAGTTGAAGTTGATTAAAAGATGCTATTAAAACACTGAGATTTTCCCCTAGATTTGAAAAGATCTGTGGGACCAGTATCAATGAGAAGGGCTAATGAGTCATATTTGAGGTGACCCAACCCTGACATTCTGATTAAATTGGCCTAGGGAAAGAACCAGTTATTGATATTTTAACAAACAAAACCTTTTCCAAGTAATTCTTATGTGCTGTCACATAAGAGAAAGATCTCTGGTCCACATATTGTCTGGGTATCTTTCTGGCAATTAAATTCTATGATATTCAGAAAAATGAGTTGAGATTAATAGAAAGTTAGCGAGAACATGGAGTTAGGGAAAGACAAAAATCACAGCAAACCTATCCAGTCATGTCATACACATCCTCAAAAGACTAATGAAGACTCCTCCTACCCTTCATTTACCACCCAGACTGTGAGTACAAATGAACAGTTATGATATTGTAGGAATAATCAAGATAATATCTTGTTTGGGAGGAGGAATTTTCCTCTCCGGTTCAAAAGTTCTTTCAGCTGGTCTAATAAACCAACATGAGACAGATTAATAGGAGAAAATGAAATTTAATTGCATACATACAAGAACCCCACATTCATGAGAGAGTCAGAGACCCCAAATACATGAGAATTTAAAGACAGAAGGGTAAGATGAAGTATTTACACCATCTTGAGGCAAAGAATGGGACAGTGGCCTGGGGCTTCAGAGGGGAGGAGGGTAATTCACAGGATGATAAGAGGAGCAGATGTACAGTAATTAGATGGTTGCTCTGCCATACAGATGGGTCATAAAAATGTATTTCTGGTAATAATTCTTATTATGAGCAAAGCTCCCAATTTAAACTCTTTAAGGTAGAGGTAAAAGTTTCTCTTGAGCCTGCAGGGTCTCGATTGCCTTTAGCTCAAAACATTCCACATGCCAAACTAGCACATCTTGTAGAGGCCTATTCAGAATTTATTCCATATCCATTTGCAAAAATTGTTTGGAAAAAAGTACTGACATTAGGGTATTTCCCCTGGCTCCATAATGGAGACAAGAGTATCTCCTAATCTAATCACGCAATGGTTGGCTGAATCTTGCCTGAAATGTAGTTGTTAAAAAAAGTTGCTCACACCCAGAGCTTACAAAGTCAGATGCAATTAGGGTCAAGGCATTTTAAATGAGTAATAATAAGTGCTTCACATTGCACTTACTGTGTGTCAGGCACTGGTATTTAAGCACTTTTCATTTATCAACTCCCTAACCCTCATAGCAATCTTTTGAGCTAGGTACTACTATCATCATCATCATCACACGATTGTACACATGAAGAAACTGAGGCCCAGAAAAGCCATGTAACTTAACCTGTTTTCACAAGTAGAAAACGATGGTATAGGTTTGATCCCGTCGTCAGTTTCTAATGATTGTGCTTAAACATTTCACCATCTTGCATCACTTTGGTAGTAAAGTCGTAAAACAGGACATTTACATGTTAACTTTTAAAATATTTTGTTTTTCTTTTTTTTCATCCTAGACGAAGAGATTATTCTTTATGTCTGAAGTATATGTGGGTCCGGTTAGTGGTGCCAGATCTGACAATTTTTCAAGAGTTAAAACTAAATACAGAGCCAGACCTGATGGCCTAGTGGTTAAAGTTCGGTGCTCTCACCACTTCGGCTGCCGGGTTTGCGTCCGGGTGGCGGAACCACACCACCAGTCTGTCAGTTACCACACTCTAAGGGCGGCTCACGTAGAACTAGACAGGACTTGCGACTAGGATATATAACCATGCACTGGGGCTTTGAGGAGGGGGAAAAAAAATGAAGAGGGGCAACAGATGTTAGCTCAGGGCAAATCTTTCCCTGCAAAAAAAAAAAAAAAAAAAACCCAAAAACATTTTTCATGTAACACGTTTACATTAGTGATAAACTCAAATTAAGAAAAAAAAAAGTCATCTAAATAAAACACATTTGCACTCCACAGGTGAACCAGAAATTTTGTTCCTTTGCTGTATCTCAATCAAACTTACTATCACTGTCCCTCCCGAGTTTATATTACCACCAAAGACTCACATTCATCATTTCACCGTCATAAATTAACACCTGAGTGCCGATTATGAGCCTTGTTGTTAAACACCCTTACTCAAGATTCTATTAATGTAGTAATTTAAATTTAAAAAATCTATTCTCTCCTTTGTGGTATGTAAGTGATTGAGACTAGCAATAGGTTTATTAACGTCCCTCCAGGCACATGGAACATGCCAGCGACCTCCTGATTTGAGAAGACAGTCATTACGTTTAGACGGAACATAGCAACCTCTAAGGGATTCTTCCCACAATCTTGATTTCCTTGCGCAAATTACGCAGCTAAATGAAGTTCTCCCACTGTTAACTTTAAGAATTCTTGGTTATAAAACCGGTAAACAGGAGCGAGGACCTGTGCTGACCACGGGTGCGACTGCGCACGCGTTGAGACCCGGAGCTGGCGCCCAATAGTGACGCAAACGGGCGGTTCCAGCTTGTAGTCTGAACGCTTAACTGCACGCCATGTGTACGTTACCAAAGCAGCATCACCGCTCCTCGGGTGAAAGAGTGGGGGGCCCTGAGAAGGGCCTTTTGTTTTGTTAAGGGAACGGAGACAAAAGCGCCAACACTTAGCCGCCGAAGCCGTAGAGGGTGCGGCCCTGGCGCTTGAGCGCGTAGACCACGTCCATGGCGGTGACCGTCTTGCGCTTGGCGTGCTCGGTGTAGGTGACGGCGTCCCGGATCACGTTCTCCAGGAAGACCTTGAGCACCCCGCGGGTCTCCTCGTAGATGAGGCCGGAGATGCGCTTGACTCCGCCACGTCTGGCCAGGCGCCGGATGGCGGGCTTGGTGATGCCCTGGATGTTGTCGCGCAGGACCTTGCGGTGGCGCTTGGCGCCGCCTTTGCCCAGACCCTTCCCGCCTTTACCACGGCCAGACATAGTGAGAGAGAAACTTCCACAACGTCTTGTCGCTGCCTCAGCTGATGCAGGCTTTTATACGTCCGTTGGCGGACCGAACTGAGAACCTAAGAGAGGAGGCGGGAAGTCCCTCCCTAGTGGGGGAGGGGAATCTGACCAAAAAAAAAAAGACTTTCATGTGTTCCCTTGTACCACTGTTTTGTACATAGTAACTATTTTGTTACCATGTTTTAAGGCTTTAAAAATTGCTTTCAAATGAGAACGCAAAGAAAATTTACAGAATGCCGTATAGGACATTTTGGAACCTCTTTACACTGATTATATTTTTATCAATTTCCGTTCTAAGGAGAAAAAAGTTATTTTTTTCTTGTTACTTAACCCATTTATTATAGGCTAGCAATGTTTCAAATGGCAAAGCTTCTACTGGTCTTTCAATTCCTTCAGTCTTCTGATGGCCAACTTGACTGTGATGGCAGGAGTGGTGCTGTAGGTCCAGGCACCACCAGCTACCGTTTTCATGCAGGAACCACAGTGCCAGATCCCCATAACGCATCTCTTCATCTTGGTTTTGCCACAGAAGGAGCAAGTGTACTTGTCGCGATGGCTGATTACAATTTTCTTTACCATTTTCCTGAGAGAGGAACCATAAGGGGCCCCATATTTACCGATGATTCTGACCTTCTTGGTTTAGGCCATGTCACCACAAACTAGGTCCGAGCCCAAAGAGGGGAAAAAGTTATTTTTAATGTCAGCTTGTTATTCCTTCTTATGAATTCTCCATAGTACAATTTTAACGAATTCCCGAGCAGCCAGTTCTTGTTTTTTTAATAATTCATTTTTTCCACACTTAAATTTACTTCTATACTATACTCGGGTATACTGTACTATACTGAAATTTCTAATGAAGGGTAGCAGAATGTGCCACTCCAAAATACGCCTCTTCGACATAAGGATTATTTTGAGCTGATTATTTTTGAGAAAAAGGAGATACAGGAGAAGTGCTAAAAGTAGTAAAATTTACCCTTTTGTAAGGGAAGTTTACATTTATAAGTGAAATCTCCATTTGTAAGGGTATCTCCCTTTTTGTATCAGGAACAGAAGGATAACTCTAAATCACAGGAAACTCTTATCAATGGAGAAAACACAGACTTAAATCTGCCTAACAACTTTATCCTTGGTTACTGTGCTTTTCCTAGTAACCTCCTATAAGTGGCCTCCCCCGTCCCCACCTCCCTCTCGTCCCCCTCTCCAACATCTTTCTTTTGTCTTTAGTTGACGATGATATTTAAGGAGGTGGCTTGGGCCATTTAGAGGTGTTTTACCCAGTTCTTCTGGGTATCTCCCATGTACGTATACATGAGCTGTACATATTATTAAACTTTTGTTTGTTTTTCTCTTGTTAGTCTGTCTTATTACAGGGGGGTCTCAGCCACAGAAACTAGAAGGGTAGAGGGGAAATTATTTTTCCTCCTTTACACAATTCTTTTTTATTACATCAAAAAATTTAAATTGTAGGGGCTGACCCTGTGGCCAGGTTCGCTGGTTCGGATCCCAGGCACGAACCTACTCCATTCATCAGCCATGCTGTGGTTGTGACCCACATACAAAATAGAGGAAGATTTGCACAGATGTTAGTTCAGGGCTAATTTGCTCAAGCAAGAAAAAAACCCAAAACTGTAGTTGTATTAGAGGTCATAATTTGGTACTGCAGTTCTCATTATTTATTTTCAAAATTTCATAATCTAGTTTCACAAGATTCCTGTTTTGGGCAACTTTAGCATAATTTTATGGAGTTTGAAAAAAAATCTTTGAGATTTTAATCATAATTGCATTAACTTTATAAATTAATTGGAATAGAATTAAGAACCTTTAAAAATCACGTTCTTAAATCGAGAAACTTGGTGTTTCTAGTTTTTTAAAAAGCCTTTTATTTTTTAGTGACCAAACTAAAGATTTGGTTTTCATACAATTTTTAATATGGAATCTTTTATGCATACATTGAATTTTCTTTCTTTTTTTCAACAAATACGGGGTTGTACTCTGAAATTCTTTTATCACGAATGTAATTTTTAAAACTCCTATAACTATTTTAATGGAATCCCTTGTTCTTCAATTGTTTTAGAAAAATGGATAGGAGCTGAATCTTTGGAGTTGGAAAAACCTGGTCTTAAATCTTTTCTACTGACCAGATTTTAGCTGACTAGCTTATGCTGTCTAAATCTTTGCTCATCCATAAAGTGGGATGGGGGTAGTGATGCTACTTACCTCATACAGCTGCTGTAAGAATTAATGGAGATGATTTATATAAAATACTGAGTACAGAGCCTACCTCTATTTAGTATAATAAGTAATTTTTATTTTTAGTAACTAAATTTAAAATATTTTATATTTTTGAAGGGGTTCAGAACAAGTATCCCCAAAATATGCCACTTTGGCATGCTGATTATTTTGAGCTGAAGACAATTAAGGCCCAAAGACTCAGGAAGAGCTTCTTACCTCCCTGTCACTGCCTAAAGGAATTTAGATAGAGGGCCTGGTCCAGGAAGAGAGCTATCACCAGAGATATCTACAAAAAGTATGGGCTAGGTGTGGTAACTGGGAGGGAGCTTGGCAGGGCCTGTTTGTTCAAATTCCTCTGTGTCCCATTATCTCTGCATAGCATGACAAATATTTGTTTGCCAAACATTTGCTCTTTCCATCTTCCTGTGAATTGTCTTCCTTCTCTTTGAAGCCTCAGATCCTTACCCCCTTCTCTAAAGCTCAGGATGGCATGTAAGCCTCAATTGCCTGACTGTTTTGGAATCTCTCATGTTTATGTGATGCTCCTGTATATATGAATTTCAATTTGTTTTTCTCCTGTTAATCTGTCTTATGTCAGTTTAATTAATAGACCAGCCAAAAGAACCTAGAAGGTGTTGGGGAGGAAAAAATTTTCCTCTACCCTTCTAGGTTCTTCTGGCTGATCTAAGAATTAAATTGACATGAGACAGATTAACAGGAGAAAATCAAATTTAATTTTGCACATATGGGGCCTCCATAAGAATATGAGGCCCAAAGGGCAGCCAGGTAATTGAAGCTTATATAACATAATGAGCTAAGGAAAGGGGTAGTGGTCTGGGGATACAAAAGCGTGGAGGACCATTTGCAGGAAGGTGAGAGGAGATGTTTGAAAACAAAAGTTTGCTCTGTTATGCAGATAAGTTTCTTAGGTAAAAAGGAATGGCTGGTAATAGCTCTCTTCCTGGTACAGGCCCCCTTTCCATTGTAAATTTAGGCAGTTGAGGGGGAGCTAAATAGTTTTTCCTGAATCTGCTGGGTTTGGATTGCTTTTAGCTCAAAATACATAACCTTTATGTCAAAGTGGCATATTTCTGGGACACTTGTTCTGAATTCCTTCAACGGGCAGAGGAAAAATTTTTCCTCCCCTACAATATTATACTTTAAATTACATTTACAATATATTTAAAATATATTTACATTAATAAATACATACATTTAAAATATTTAATATTATTTAAAATAATATATTAAATAATTTAAATAACTAATATTTATTCTTACTATAAATTATCATATGATATTAACACCCAGTCTGTGTTTATTTTAAACATGTATTTATAGATTTTTATTGACATTTATTTTTGGTCAAAATATATTTTTAATATTTATTAGCCTGAAGAAAATAAACATCTAGTACTTTGTTTTTCTGTGCAAATTTCTGATATATGTATGTAAATCTTTATCAAGTATTCTCTGTCTTGAAACAACTTCTAATCAGTATCCTAACAACTGAAAATACAAGTGGAGGATTGTCACAGTGAAGGACCCATTGCTGCTCCCTCTTTACCAAAATCTTGCCCTCAGACACCACCACCACAGCAGTTATACTAATATTTCTATATAAACACTTGAAATAGTAAGCATAGATAAAAGTCTGGAAGAGGAGAAATTTATAAAAACCACAAAAAACAATCTTAGAGGAAAGGCATTATTTGGGAGACTCAGAAATTTGTATTGTTGGAAGATCATAATTTTCCACCCTCAGGTTTTGCCCCTTGTCCAGAGTCCCTGCCTTGCTCTAAACGACTGGTCCCCAAAATCACTCAAGCCATTTCCTTATGCCAGCAGATAATTTATATTCATTAACATCAGTAGCATTTATTTAAATGTGAGATTGTTGGTACATTGGAAGAAGAAGCAGGAGGTAGACCCAATTAATAACGTCATCCAGATCAACCTTTTTCCAGGTAAATTAATTTCATGAAGTGATAGGGCAATATAAATCTTTCCAAGTGGTCTTTGCCTCATGGACCCCTCTGATCTTAAGTCTGCCTCCTCCATTTTAACTACTTTGAATATTCATTTAACAATCCCTACATTTTCCTACATGCAATCTCATCCTCATTTAATTTTCAACTGCTTTTTGGCTTTTATTTTATATCACTTACTTTGTATTAATTTCATAATAATAAAAATTCTTATAATTTATTGACCATATTTTATAGGCTTGTCACTGAACTAGGGTCTAGGGAGATGTAAAATATAAATAAAACCCAGTTTCCACTCACAGGGACTTTGTAAATTAATAGATAAGATACACAATGAATCTAATACAGGAAAATACTGTTAGGTGCTTTCATAGTTGTCCAGAGTCTGCAAAGAGAGAAATTAACAGGAAGGCCAACTCCAGAAAGAAAGTTTAAATAATTCTTTCATAAGTTTTCTGCCACTAAAATTGAACTTCTCCTCTTATGAAAATAATTTTACAATATAAACCATGAAGTTCTAAAACCTTCTTCAGGATCTAATTGCAATTAGAAATATCTAAATTATTTTAGCAAGATTTTTTGAAAGTTTTATCTCCATTTTTAAGTATCTTTTAATTTTTTTCTGATTATGTAGATAGTTCATCTTCATGTATCAAGTAAAGAATAGAGGTGCTTTAAATGACTAGTTTAATGAGACCAGAGCAACAGTCAATTAAAAACCTCAGTTAACATGTGGAATTATAAACAATGATATGCGTATCACAAATGAATATTTTACTTTACTTAAAACATAAAAATTTATATTCAGGGGCCGGCCGGGTGGCGCAAGTGGTTGGGTGAGCGCACTCCACTGCGGCGGCCAGGGGTTCACTGGTTCGGATCCCGGGTGTGCACCGACATACTGCTTGGCAAGCCATGTTGTGGCGGTGTCCCATATAAAGTGGAGGAAGATGGGCACGGATGTTAGCCCAGGGTCAGTCTTCCTCAGCAAAAAGAGAAGGATTGGCAGATGTTAGCTCAGGGCTGATCTTCCTCTCACACACACAAAAAAATTTATATTCATTTGTCAAATATTTGATTATTGGTTCATTGTTTGATAAATCAAAAACACACCAATAATTATAATGGTATGATTTTAACATGTGTTGGTTCTTATTGGGGGGAATAGAAATGAGGCAATAAAGCAAGTGTTAGTAACTGCATCATCAACATCAATAATAATAACAATAGCATATTTTATTATTAAAAATTGAAAGAACTCATAGGCCTTCCTTGGAGCTCTATCATTTACTCTACTTGACATTTCTAGTTCTAAGAGAAATAGTTGTTTAAAATTTACATACAAGATGCACGAGACTTTTTAGAAGGAACAATTGAATAATAAGATTCACTGAAATCAGGGTTTGGGTCCTGCAACTTCAAATAATCATAAGTTAAAAAGGAAAAAAAAGGTAACATTTACTTCCTATTTGTGATTGCTGTGGTCACTTCTATTCCAAGGAATATTATTTGCATGTAATTGCAGTTGAGATTTAAATATAGGAGATAGAAATATTTCAAGAGACTCAGAAAATAAATTTATTCCAATGGACTAGAAATGCCATAGAAATTCACTTCCATTAAAATGTATTCATGAGGAAAAACTAAACAGTAGCTGACGTGTGCTTAGATGGAGGGGAATTGAAGGTCCTCTTTAGCTAAAATGACTTGGTGATCTGAGAAGGGTGAGATTGATGATGGTGGGGGAAGGGGGCAACAAAAATCATTGACAATATCAAGACTATATGATCCTGATATGGTAAAGAGTCTGATTTACAATATCCACCTTTCCTATTTGTTAAGGCTCACACTCTTCCTAATTAATTCCATACCACGTTTACTTCACCATCATTTATGTAAATGGTCCATTATGAAATGTATTCTCTGCCTGAACTGATTTGAAACAAGGAATTTACCTACCTGGTTTCCTACTGTACCGCCATTTTGGAGGGTGAGGGTGCTCAGGAAGATTCAACTGAATTAGGGGAAGGTAATGTAGGGAAAAGTCATACGGTGCTAAGTTTTTGTCCCAGATGGACAATTGATCCTGCACAGGGATCACAGTGATATCCAGATTTTGCACTCATGGGTTTACCAAACAACTATGAGCAAAGCTTTTATTTTTTACAAGGCAACTTAATTCAGGGTCTTGGGAAAATGTAACACTATATAAATGACATAGCCAAACCTTTTGTATACCCGTTCATGTTCAACAACATCTCTCTGCTATCCCACAACAATGTGACTTGAAGAAACAGCTCATTTTTGTGATAAAGTGGGTGGCTCTGAAAAGAGCCTTTTGGTTTGGAGACAAGGCTGAAGCTGCTAACTATACCAGATTTCTACTTGCCCTTGGCCTTGTGATGGCTCTCGGTCTTCTTGGGCAGCAGCACGGCCTGGATGTTGGGCAGGACGCCGCCCTGCGCGATGGTGACTTTGCCCAGCAGCTTGTTGAGCTCCTCGTCGTTGCGGATGGCCAGCTGCAGGTGGCGCGGGATGATGCGCGTCTTCTTGTTGTCGCGGGCCGCGTTGCCCGCCAGCTCCAGGATCTCGGCCGTCAGGTACTCCAGCACCGCCGCCAGGTACACCGGCGCGCCGGCCCCCACCCGCTCGGCATAGTTGCCCTTGCGGAGCAGGCGGTGCACTCGGCCCACGGGGAACTGCAGCCCGGCCCGCGAAGAGCGGGTCTTGGCCTTGGCGCGAGCCTTGCCGCCCTGCTTGCCTCGTCCAGACATGATGGAGGTATAACCACTGCCCCGATTAGGGTGTAAATTGAATCAGCCAGAGCTACATTACTTATAGTCTTTACTGGGCGCGAAAATGAAAGTGTACCATTGGCTAAAACTACACTTTCAGTTAAACCAATGGAATCGTGGTCTTGAAATACACTTATTTTCATTGGACAAAATTAACATATGACGTTTCCAGGATTCACCACCAATCAGACACACGACTTTATTCACTGCCTCCTTTGTTTAAGAAGCTGTGACTGAAGAGGACATTTACAGCCTCATACTCATTCTTCCTATTACTGTCTAGCGCTTCTGCAGTTACTGCGGACCATGCCTGAGCCCTCCAAGTCTGCTCCGGCCCCGAAGAAGGGCTCCAAGAAGGCGGTGACCAAGGCGCAGAAGAAGGACGGCAAGAAGCGCAAGCGCAGCCGCAAGGAGAGCTACTCCGTGTACGTGTACAAGGTGCTGAAGCAGGTCCACCCCGACACCGGCATCTCGTCCAAGGCCATGGGCATCATGAACTCGTTCGTCAACGACATCTTCGAGCGCATCGCGGGCGAGGCGTCGCGCCTGGCGCATTACAACAAGCGCTCGACCATCACGTCCAGGGAGATCCAGACGGCCGTGCGCCTGCTGCTGCCCGGGGAGCTGGCCAAGCACGCCGTGTCTGAGGGCACCAAGGCCGTCACCAAGTACACCAGCTCCAAGTGAGCCCACCTACAGTCAAGCTAGGCCCACACCCCAAAGGCTCTTTTCAGAGCCACTCAGTCTTCTAAAGAGAACTGGCACTGACTTTTTACAGCAGGTAAGTGTTGTTTGCTGCAAAGAAACCATTTCCGTGTTTCCTTATTTTGGTCCTGTTAGAAATTACTTTCACTACAATGTGCGTGCTGCAGCAACGCTCGAGACATTTTTATGAATGATCCGGTTCATCATCAGACAAACGTAGTAAAGGAAAATAAAGTACCCTTTGTCCCAAAACAAAATCTGCGCACCGTTAAAAATGTCAACCAGGCAGAAGGTTTTGTTAACAACGCCTTGAGCGCTCTGTCTTTAATTTTAACGTGTGCCTTAACAAATGAAGCACTTGGCACACACTAAGAAACGTATAGATCGTTTTATTTACGTGTGTTTTCTTTTGGGGATGGTCTTGGCTCTCTTCCCTTCCTCTGAGTTTGGATTTGCCAAGAAAGGCAGAAGAAAAAGAAATGGAAGTTGGAATTCAATTCAAATTATTTAGGCTTCAATCAGGTGCCACGTTGGTACCCATAGCCAATCCAGACGCTGCGCGGGCAGTTTGAAATTAACCACCGGTTTCCTTTTGTGAGTCTGTCCGAATTGGGAGGATTCTGGGCAGCGCGGCTTTATGGGAGGAACTCGGCGGTTTTGCCCACTCCCTCATTTCTGAGTGGAATTCCTTTTTATGAAAAGGATTAGGTTCTATTCCCCACCTTTCCTGTCAGGATCTGCTGCATGTTTTTCTCTCTGTGTCACTTGCATTTACTGCTTCTCTATTAATTAGAGGAAATTTAAAAAGAAAATTAGGAAGTAGAACAAGAGAAGGGCTATTCCCTCACCCCCACCCCCAATTCAGGAAGTCAACCCATTTCTCCATTTTAAGCTCTTAGGAATGGCATATTTAAAACTACTTTGGTATTTGCTGGCAATGGTGTGGAAACGCTTCCACATGAATTGTATTAGCTGAAGGTTTTTGAGGATACCCTTTATCCAATTACAGTACTCCAGTGACAAAGAGTTTCACTCTTAGGTGTTTACCTGAGAATATTCTGCACATATGCAACAGGAGACATACAAAATGGAGCAGCACTATTCTTAATACCAAAATGCTAGAAGCAATTACATGTTCATGGCCAAAAGAACAAACAGATTTATTGAGGTACATTCACACAATAGGATATCATATAGCAGAGAAAATAGTTGAAATACACAGTACTTGGTTGAATTTCAGAAACATAAATCTCAGAAGTTTCATATATAATACCATTTTATAAAGCTCAAAAATAAAACTAAATTATCTGTTTATTTGAGCATATGTACAAGTATGTGTAAGTGTGTGACTTAAAAACTTTTTAAGAGATAGCTTCGTGAATAAATTTTTTAAAATATCAGACAGTGGGTATCTCAGGGATAGAAGTAGGGCAAGGGGATGGGGCAAAACAGAGGGAGATATGAAGTTGTTGCTGACATTCTAGATTTGGGGTTAGAAGTTCCATCATAGGTGTTTTATCTACTTTGCTTTATACCTTAAATATATGTTACATATATTCCCTTTATGTATCAGATACTGTACTGAAAAATATAATAGACAGGGAAACAACCTGTGTATAAAAACAAGTTCCAAGCAACATATAGTTTGTCATAAAGGAAAACTTGTAAATGAGAACCCAGTAGTGATTCTGTAGATAATATTACATTCTTTTAGAGAGTAGGAGAAAAAGAAGACTGTCAGAGGCCATTAAAAAGGCCTGTGGATTCAGAAAACAAGATTTTTGCTACAGTTAAAGAGTCAGCAGCTGATCCCTCCAGCTCCTCCAGCTCCTCCAGCTCTTGTAAACTTCCTGTCTACACAGCTTCTTAAAATCTTTGTGACAGCTCTCTGGTGGAGGTGTGTATGTATGCATCTGCATGTGTGTATTTTGTATATATTTTATGTATTTATGTGTGTATATGTGTATATCTCTCCCTCAATTCTGTTAGAAGAAAAATTATACTTTTTCATTTCTGTATCTTCTCTCATTCTACCATCTCCCTCTCAAGATATTTGAGGACAGTAAATTCACCAAAGATTTGGGTTTTTTAAATCTCTACTTTTCAGAGTGCATGTGCCTTTGATCCTGTCTATTAATCCACTAAGTCAGAAAATTGGCAGAAAATTCTGATATTGTTTTGTTTTACAGAATGAGGAAATCAGCAGATAAAATTCAGGAGAGGAAATAGGAAGAGGATTTAGAGAGATAAAGCTACCTAAATGCATTCCCAGGCCCAGGATATATATATATGAGTTTGGACATTCAGGGACTGATTAATGACTTGGAATTGTCAGCAGGCAAGAAGATGTCTAGAATAGTATGGGGGGGGGGTGGCTAAAATCTGTATGCAGAATGGAAAGGAGAAAGAAGAAGGAATTTGTGGCCCCTCTATACAAGGTTCACATATCAGGTTCATTACACTCCAGTATTTAGAAAGTTAAAATTCCTAAAAGACAGGGAGAGAAAAATAAAAAAAGAACTCAAAGCTAGATCTTGTGGGTTATTTGCATCTTGGTGAGCCAAGCGTCTAACCCTTTGTTGCTGAAGTTATCTTGATTAATTTATGCCATCATTGATCAGCCTTGGGAAATTGATTTAAGCTAATCCAAACCAGGATATCACCTTACTGTTGTACTCTGGAATTTATACTTGGTATCTTCAAGAATTCACATGATTTGCCCCAAATAATTTTTTGGTCAATATTTTTTTTCCCTAAAGAACAATTTACAGAGCAGAAGGGAACTGATTGGTGCATAGAAATAGATGAGAGAATCTGATCCTAAAGGACACTTTTTCCAAGTTATGTCACCTGAAAATGACCTTTGTTCAGCCTAGAGAAATTTGTGTTTTCCCCATTGGAAAGAGCACTTCCTTCCATGGAGATTGTTCAAAATGTACTGACAAAGCTTAACTCTTTTTTTACTCCTTTCTATATTCCATGCAGTTTGCCATCCTTCAGTTATGACATTGTATTGGGGACATTAAATTAATTTGATTACAATTTATCTTAGTTACATTTTAGATCCCTTGATGTGGAAAACACCTGCATCTCATCCTCCAAATATGTCTGATCCATCTCAAATGTGTATTACTTCTACAGATGACTAGTTTATCCATTTCCTAATACCTTTTAACTTCTACTTCAGAGGTTGACCTTTTCCTATATAGTCCCTAAATCATAAAGATGGTGCCTATTGGGAGACTTCATGAAGTAAAGAAGAAGTGTGGTACTGAAAAAAAAGAAAACAAATTAATAAAAAACACAAGGAAATTTTTCCAGACTTGAATAATGATCAAAAAGTTCTATCAGCTCCTACAGAGTTGAACACACACATAAGTATTCCTAGAGGGTCAATAAATGTGACTGATTCCACTTAACAAGAGTTTAGTGAGGCCTGAAGAGTGCAAAGAACAAGGCTAAGAACTGGGTAGGGATAGACTATGAGGACAAATAACCCCACCCCCTGCAGGTGTGTAACAATTCCCATACCTGATATAAGGAAGAATAACATAAGTGCCTCAGCCAAGGGTCTATATTTACATTAGAAATAAGCAATTATTTTTGATGGAGAAATTATGAAAAGCTGTATGGGAACACTGGGATGCCAAGGATATTAATTTGGGGAGAACCTTTACATTTCAAGACACAAGGGCAGAGGCTTAGGCCAGGTTCCAGTGCAGCCACTTGGCGTAGCAGTGGGGATTGTGACCTGTGCTTATTGATGACCTGTGAGGTCAACACTTATGCAGTTTATTAAACAATACTATCCAGCAATTGTGCTCCTTGATATATACCCAAAGGAGTTGAAACTTATGTACACACAAAACCCGCACATAGATGTTTACAGTAGCTTTATTCATAATTGCCAAAACTTGGAAGCAACCAAGATGTCCTTCAGTAGGTGAATGAATAAATAAACTGTGGTACATCCAGACACTGGAGTATCATTCAGTGCTAAAAAGACATGAGATATCAAGCCATGAGAAGACATGGAGGAACCTTAAATGCATATTACTAAGTGGAAGAAACCAATCTGAAAATGCTACCTACTATATGATTCCAACTATATGACATTTTGGAAAAGGCAAAACTATGGATGACAGTGAACAAGATCAGTGGTTGCCAAGGGTTGGGGGGGACGGAGGGATGAATTGGTGGAGGATAGATTTTTAGTTCAGTGAAAATACTCTGTATGATACTATAATGATGGATACGTATTATTATACATTTGTTCAAACACATAGAATGTACAACACTAAGAGTGAACCTTAATGTAAACTATGGACTTTGGGAGATTATGACGTGTCAATGTAGGTTCATC